AAAAAATATATATATATATATATATATATATATATATATATATATATATATACTACTACCACTTTGTCATAGAAGATATTATCTAGTAAGCTGTATAAGTGTTTTCACTCCTCCGAGAATGGGCCTGTTGTAGCTGATTCACATGAGTAAAGACGGTCTAAGAAGTTAGAGGTAGTTCTTTGACTGTTCTGTGTGATCACGTATGTCTTTAGGTCAATTATAAACTTCTCTTCCTTTCCAAATATCCTCCAAATCACAAGGATGCAAAGGCTGTATCACAGGAAATTTCTCAGAATGGCTGTATTCCAAGCCCCGTTACCTGAGGTTGGCTTGGACTCAGACCAGTTTGGGGAAGGAAAAAAAGGAGCATATAATTTATAAAGCAATTCCCTCTTGCCAACTGTAGGTCTGAAGTTCCAGGCAGCCTAAGACCTGAGTAGCCTGCTCCCACACTGCCAAATTTCTCCAAATAATTTAAACACTTAGACTGTAAGCCACAGAGGACACCACAGCATTACCACAGATAGGACTATAGTAACAGTGTGCCAAAGCCAGGAAAAAAGGATACTCGACTTTGGTATAAATTGTGAAAAGAGAAGATAGTCTAAGAAGTACGTTTTCAATAGCCAACTAGGATTAGATTGTTCTAACATTATTAAATTACTTTTCTTAGTGATTTTTGCTTGTTTTTACTAGCATCACTTATCTTCACATAACAAGGAAATCTTTTAAACTCTAGCTATTCTAATTAAGCTGGATTTAATCATTTAAAAATATGTTCACCTCTTTATGTCTTAACACCTTTTAAATTTGAAATTCCTTCCCATTTTTCTCATTCAAACCTATACCTCCTTTAAAACATGGTGAAAGACCCAACTCCATAAAGTCTAATCTTTTATTAACAACAGATTTATTTTTAAAGAAAGATTTTTCATATTCTTAAATTTACACCATACTTACCACTGTAATGATCTATTTTGTTTTCTCTATGTTCTCAGCAAAATCAAAAGACCTCAGAGACCATTCTTTATTATGAAAAAAATAGTACCCACACACTAAGCCCAGAACAATGTTGGGCATAGGGCAGACCTTTTACTGTATATGGTATATGGTCCTGCAACTTTATGTGACATACATGAATTAGCTGGGTGGGGGAACAAAGTCTGAGAAAATTATGATAAGTAGTTTTCTAAAACATTTCAAAGGTCTATGAGCATGTGAAACGTATGGTCTTGCTTCTAAGGTACAACTAGGTATCTACAGTCTCAAGAAAAATGTTTACATTAATGTAAATCTGTCAGTAAATAGTTAATTTTTTATCTTTTTATGTGTAGAAATGTTTTAAAATATATTTAAAAAAAATAAAAGTCTGCTGTATTATGTGGAGAAATTACACAAATTAAGGTTACTAAATTTTATATTTAAATAAAAGATTATTTTATATGTGTGTTAAAAAGAAACAACAGATCCAAAATGGAGTTACTTGTGTAACTCCCACACCAGCAAACCAAGGCTTACTACCTAACCTAACTGCAGATTCAGCCCCTCCCAGGAAAGGCATCTTAACCAATTGGTCTGGAATTTCCCGGTCAGCACTAGCGAGGTCATCTGCCACACAGACCCCTCCCATCCCTTAAAGGAAAGTGACCTTGCCAATCTGCTTTCTGCTAGTATAACTTTCTTGTCCCTGCCCCCTTCTGATTTTAAAAACCTTCCATTTTGTATAGCTCCTCAGAGATCCCTTCTACTTACTAGATGGGATGTGGCCTGATTCAGGAAGTGTTTAATAAAACCAATTAGATCTTCGAATTTACTCAGTTGAATTTTGGTTTTTAACCATATTATATATCAATTTCTAGGCAACATTTAGAACACAGTCATCTTTAGCAGTTAAAATTAGACTAGTTCACTTTTTCATTAACTCTCATCAAATTCAGAAGTGAAAATATTTAGTACATTTTCAAAAATGATTAAACACAGAACTAGATGAACTATACTTCTAGGTGTACAGCAAAAGTACTTAATGTGTACCAATTAATAGCTTTTCCAAATATATCCAAATGCTCAGTTTCTGTCAGAAGAAAACTAAGAACTACGTAAAGACTGGAAACATTCAACAGTAAAATTTGACATAGAAAGCTCAATTTTAAAACACTACTATAATCTCAAAATTGTGGAAATTCTTTCATTTATGAAGTAAATATTCAAACTGATATATATTTTTTGTAAAACAAAGTACCATCCCAACATTTCTCTTTACAATCAATGAAATATCAACAGAATAGAGATCAAAGATTATCTGCTCAGTAATAGATTCCAACACTTTGCCCTTCAGGGGAGGTGTGACACCGTTATGGTCTTCCCTACCCTACACACCACAAGCAGTACTGTATTCCTAACAAAGGGAGCACTGCCTTAAGGGTATATCCCCAGGCTGGCAGGCAGCTCAGCCTCCTGACTAGTCTGAATAGGTAAAAGGCAAACAGATGATCGGAGCAAGATTTTAGGCCCTTGAAGTATTTGGAGATTCTGGATAATCCAAATTAAAATTCACAAACCACAGTTGATAACTCTGTTAAAGACCATTCTAAGAAATGAAAAAAAAAATCATGAAATAGGAAATACCTAAATTAGCTTTAAAATGCTTCACTTTTCCAACAATACATAAAGTCTACACTTATTTCTTTTAGAGCATAACTTATATTTTTGAGAAAAACATGGAAAGAGTTCAGCTAGCTAAATTCATCATATGCCCAAATGCCATGTCTCCTTCAGAATCCACTAGGTAAACATCTACCAAAACTACAAAAGAAATTTGGGACCTATTTTTAACACCAACCCAACTTCTAAGGTCAAAAACCCAGGAGTCATCCTTGTTTCCTTTTTCCTTCAAATCTCACATCTAATCTATCAACAACTTCTGTCAACTCTACATCCAAATAGGTCCCAAATGCAACCATTTCCCACGATTTCAAGGAAATCTGAGCCACTACCAACTTTTAGTCAGAGCCACTATTATCTTTTTTCTGGTACTACTGCAACAGTCTCTTAACTAGTTTCCTGGCCTCAATCTCTAGCTTTCCTCCCCCCACTTTTAAGTTTTTTAAGCATAAAACCAAGTCATATCAGTTAGTTGCTTAAACTGTCCAGTGATCTGCCACTCCAACTAAATAAAATTTATACTTTACCTCAGGTGATAAGACTATACCCTGGAGTATCTCACTTCCTATTTTTACACTGGGCAACATCTCGGCCCCCTTAAACTTTCCAAGTCTGTTTCCAGGCCTTGCAGTTGCTGAGTTCCTTCCACTTGGAATGTTATCTGCCTAGGTCTTCATTAAGTTATCCTCTTCTCAACACTCAGGTCTTAGCTCAATTTTACTTCTCAAATAATTCTATCCTGGGCTTCCCTGGTGGCGCAGTCGTTGAGAGTCCGCCTGCCGATGCAGGGGACACGGGTTCATGCCCTGGTCTGGGAAGATCCCACATGCCGCGGAGCGGCTGGGCCCGTGAGCCATGGCCGTTGAGCATGCGCGTCCAGAGCCTGTGCTCCACAATGGGAGAGGCCACAACAGTAAGAAGCCCGCGTACCGCAAAAAAAAAAAAAAAGGAAGAAAAAAAAAAGTTCTATCCTAACTGCCTTAGCCAAAATTAGCCAAGCTGCCACCCCCAAGCTCATAGTGTCCCTACACACACTATTTTATTTGCTTTGTAGCACTTGGTACTTTAAATTCTTTCCTCTATCCAACAGGTTCTCGTTGTCTACCTTCTTTCATGACTATGTAATGAGACCAGGGATTGATCTTTCTTATCTCTACTACGCAGCCAATAGGTATTACCTAGATCAGTGTCTGGCATACAGTAAGTACTTATCACTATTTTTAATCAACTGATTTATGCCATAACTACATAACAATAAAGTCTTTTTCCTCATGCCCTTTCCCCATTCCCTTCTAATTTTACCCTACTTTCCTCCTTTTGATTTTTTCTCAGAAAAATAACTTAAATTTTTGTACCATAATATTGCTACAGAAAAACGTAATTTTTTTCCAATTGATGTTACCTTAGGATCACTTGCGCATTCTTATTACACATGCAAATTTAGAAGTCTTAGACATACCTGTATTTTAACATATCCAAAAGGAAATTTATTATCTTCTGCCATAAACCTGCTTCCCGTTTTCTGTCTCAGCAAACAGCATCACAGTTTATGGCAGAGACTGCTAAGCTCTCTTCTAAAATCTGTTCTTCCTTTCTTCAATGGGAGCTGCCCACCTACACTACATTTCCCACCCTCACTGCAGTTAGGTGTGGCCACATGACCAAGTTCTCGCCAATGGAACGTGAACACAGGTG